AGGCCCCTACTGCCACTGCGAAACAAACTATTTTGAGACCTCCCCTCAGCGGGCTATACACTGGCGCAAAGAGCAACGCCCATGGAAGAGGCCGCAAAACATGGACGCATGGTTTGCCAAAGACGGCCTCGATCCTGGGGCCGAAGAGCAGTCGCCGCAGAAGAGGCCGCGGACGACGGAGGGGGCACCGAACGACTCAGTCGCTTCGGCCAGCCATCAGGTAGCCTCAGTCGTCACTCAGCCTTCCTTGGGCAACCCTGGAGTTGGACAGCAGGCGGCCGGTGGATCATCCGCCGACCCAGCCTCAGGTCCGACTGGCCCTCCCGGCGCAGCCGGCGGGGGGACAGGTGGCGGCTCGCCCCCCAGCCCAGCCGGCGGTGGTGGAGCTCCGCCAGGACCAGGTGGATCTCCTTCGGGAAACGGTCCACCCACTCATCCCTCCTCAGGAGGTGGCGGAGGGGATGGGCCGCCCGAGTCGGGTCCAACCGCGACCGAAGCTGAGCCAGATGACCCGCCCTACATTGGGAGAGGTCCCTGGAACGTCCTTGACTACTTTCGGACGCAGGGAAATTTTGCGACTGATCCCAAGGCCCCCACGAATGAATGGCAGGTCAAGGTGAATGAGATCCTTGACCTTTATATTGGGATTACAGACCCGATGATGATGACCTGGGCAGTCAAACTGTCGTTTCTTCAGAAGTGCCAGGCCATCTCGCAAATTGCCAGAGTCAACGGACACTCGTGGATTCCATTCATAGGTGAGGACCTCGCGGCCATGTCGGACACAGGGAAACCAGTTACTGATTTCTTTCGTCCACTGTGCTTGATGAGTAGCGGGCCGCATACTTATTGGTCTTACTCTGTTCATATTGTCTCAGACTCCACTATTGTATTCAAGGATGGACCCGAGAAGGCTAAGCCTAGCCTGCTCCCTGAGTACAATCTGCGAGAACACGTATTTGGAAGCTCGCAGAACGCCGTAAGCGGAGCCCTGGCCTCAGCCATCCGGGAGGCCTCTTCAAACTTTCAGTGGAGCAAACATGATTTTTTTTTTGAAAAAAAAGGGATCCACACTCCGATACGCTTCACCTTTTGGAACTTCAATGATATTGTTGATGGCACCAGTGAATTGATCGGAGTTGGCACTGGGCCAAAACGACACGAGAACCCATTCGCTTTCGCAGGAAGCCTCATAATATTAGTAGAGGATGCGGTTAAGCTGGTGGATGACGCGATGGGCCGTGCTACCGAAGGGGCGATAGAGATCATGTATGTTGGTGGGGACCACAAGTGCTGGCAGACAGATGGGGGTGGCGTAAGCCCGATGTGGAACGACGTTGCCACCCCTGTTTGGGCCAGAAAGAACCGTCGGATCGAACGCTACAACTCCATAGGAATGCTTCCTAGGATAAAGATCCTCGACGGAGTGAGTCTTTACCGACAGCTTCGGCAGCGCCCATTGGACACCTTTCACTATGCTTCGACCCACCAGGAGAATAAAATGGTGGGCAAATAGTGAGCGCGACTGCTGGCCAACTGTGTGCAGAATACTTGGCCAAAATTGCCAAGCTGGCCGTGTTATTCTTCTGTCAGCCCGCCGGCGGCTCAGCCGTGCGGAGTGGCCACATAACAAGCGCGACAAGAGCTGACGGGTATGCCCAGCGGGAGGCGGCTGTTAATGAGCTGGTCTTGTACTGGCAGAACTAGGCCCCCTCAGCGGGCAATAGGCCCACGTCAATGCTCAATGCTCGCCCGTTTAAAACAGCCTTGAGCAACAATGATTTTCCAGCCATCTTAGATGGATCTGGAGGTGGCGCAATCCACTCCTATTACTCAGCGGCTTTTGTTAACTTTCTTAAGCAGGGAATGGCGTATGAGGACTTTTTCCATTGGAAAGATGAGACTTACTTCTTGCCGCGTGGAGATATTTTCTGCCCAGGAATGCCGCCGAAGGGGTAAAGCCAACGATCGGAGGAAGAAGGCGTGCAAAATGATGAGCATATGCGCTCGGCACTGAACGAGCTGCAAAAGGCAGCGCCGGCCATGGCACCGAGCGGCTGAGCCGTTTCGGTGAGTGGGTCGGCCTCGGGTGACATAGCCATCCCTGTTCACGTCGCGCCACCGAGCGGCGCAGCCGCTTCCAGTGGAGCCGTTGCGCCCGGCGGCTCAGCCGTCTCGGGCAGTGACTCTAGTGCGCGGACGGCTCAGTCGCCCCGCAGTCCTCCTTTGGCGCGCCTACGGATTTTCAAGAAGCCCAAACGCCCAGAGAAGCAGCAGAGAAATACCTTCGCGATAAATGCCCCGAGGGAAGTGCAACCAGGCTCAGCGGCGGTCACAAGTTCCCAAAACGGCCGAAAGAAGGTAGCCCTGGAGAAGAGGAGCGCTATTGGCCCTATCGTTTGTCGTATCAGCAGACGAAGAGGTTGCCATATAAAAGTGCGACAGGGACAGAAATCGTTCATCATGATTTTCTTCGTCCGTTTACGGTCGCTAGTGGCAACCTCCATCGAGGCATGATGCCTGGGAACGCTTGCCCAGGCGAGGAAGGCCGCGCTGCAGAGGTTGCACAAGGGAAAGGCCCGCCTCGGAGCCAGCAACAAAAGATGGTTCAGAAAGCCGCGCAAGGGGAAGCGTGGCTGGATTTTCAGTTGCTACAGAAGTCAAAGAGAACCCCACCTCTGGAACCAAACTATATGGTTCCGAATTGGGCACGTTTCTTCAGGGTCAAAGCCGACCAGTCAAGAGCAGACCCAGCAGCTACAGTTGCTGATCGTCTGAATTGGGCTAAGTTGTCGGTGGAGACCCATAGAGTGGGCGTTGCCCATTGTGTTGGACTCTCGTTACCCTTCTTCGTGAATGACGAAAAGCTTGCGGAGGTCTTAGACCCATCCGCAAGCTGGCCCAAGCAGTCCCACGGTACGTCTGTGACTGCCCTTCACACAATATTGGAAGGTCATCAATTGCTTCCTTCTGGTCCCAGATACGGATGCAACGTCAAGGCGCACACGGCTGGGGTGTATTCTTTTCCATGTATTGATAACCCCAATACGCACATAACGTACTCCGTTGCTGAGGAGACTTGTGGAGACGGTATATGGGTAACTACCGAGATTGTTTTCTTCATTAGAAAACCAACAGTCATCAAGGGAAAGCCGCCGCAGTGTGTGAGCGACCCAGCAGGAGACGTTTTGCACGAGCTGCGACTGCACGATGCATATGTGCATTTGTAAAACGTTGCCATACAGAACGGTTGGAAGCTGGAGCAGGACCTCGAGGTCGAAAGATACCGAGATGATGATCGAACACAGGCCACGGACAAAGTCCGGGAGGCGCAGATGGCATGGGTTCCAAATTTAGAACCGATTGTCTGGCAAAGGGGGCTAAGTCCTTACTTTGGTGACGGTAATATTGATGATATCTGGCCTTGGCTCCAACAGAAGGGAGTCAGGCTAACTAAGATTCATCCATTGCACAGAGATGAGGCCTCGACGGAGTCCGTGAAGCTTGTTGAATAGAACAAAGACGAAAAAGACAAGTCAAAGATGCTAACTTTCAATTCTAACGATGTTGTGAAACCAACGATCCGTGAAGTGGACGTTTTTACTTAGCAGAAATGTGGTCTCAATGCCTACATGCCAATACAATGACATGCAACACAGTGGACGTTACACAGCCCAGCAAAGAGGTTGGCTGGAGCGCCGACGTGCAGAGCACGGCTCCAGAGGAGGGGGGAGGAGGAGGACACGCAGGAGGCGGAAGAGGCCGAGCGGTGTTGGAGTGAGCGGATACGGAGGCGTGGGGAGAGACGAGGGGCGACGACGAGGCGGGATGGCCGACGGCGACGCCGCTTTTTGCTCAGCGGGGCGGGCGCGGCAAGCCGCCGCTGCCGCCGGCGCCAGCCGCCAGGCGCGCCCCGCTTGGCGGCGGCAGCGCGGGAGGGGGGGGGATGAGATGAGGAGATGCGCTGAGGCGTTGAGGACCAAGGGGAGGCGGGGGGGGGTGTTGGAGGAAGGGGAGGGGGGGGGAGTGGAATGGAGAGGGCGGTGGGCGACGAGTGGGGAGTGAGGGGATGAGAAGGAAGTAGAGTAGTAGAGAGGTGGGCGCCGGACTGGGGGCGAGGGGGGCAGGGGGTAGGAGGGAGAGGGCCGAGGACGAGAGCGCGGTCACCTCATCCCTCGTCGTCCGCACCCGCCTCTTCATCACCGCTCACCTGCAGCATCACCCCACTTGTTGAAGGCCTCATCCCACCCCCATCCTCACCCTATCCTCGTACGCCTCGCTCCTCATCATCCTCATCATCCTCATCGTGCTCATCATCCTCCTCATGCGACCCCTCATCTTCAAACTCATAGTCCTACCCCTGTGTGTCCTCATCACCCCAACCACGTTGAGCAGGCGATCCGTTTGCCGTCTCGGCGCGCGGGGTCCCTGTCCTTAGTCGCGGGGGCGCTATTTAAGGCGCGCGCCCCCAACGCCAGACACACAGTGTCGCAGCGGCTGAGCTGAGCATGAGCCTCGTTCAGTCCTCATCATGTCCTCATCATCTCCTCCATCTCATCATCTCATCTCCTCCCTGAGGCTCCGAGGCCGCCGCCTCCCGAGCGGCAGGCGTCGCGCCGCGCACGGGCAGCCGCTCCCCGGCTGCTGTGCGAGATCGCGCTGCACTGCGCGCCGACGCATAGTAGCTGCGGCCCTGCAGCTACGATGATGAATTCACGCTTCGGCAGATCTGCCAGATTCCGCCGCCGCTCGACACTGCTTCGATACGCGGGACCGCTCCGATCGAATGACTCGGACTGCCGACAATCTCATCGTAGTCGTATCCTATCGGATGCACCGTCGTAACGCATCGTCGCATCGTCGTACGACATCGTACTATCATCGGCCCATCGTCGTTTCGAAGCAGTGACGAGACGAGGCGCGGGCCCCCACCGCCGGCACCGCGCGCCACCCGTGGCACGCGGGCGCGACGGCGGGTCGCAGCCGTCGCAGCGCCGCACTCACTCGAACAAGTGCTTGCAGTCCTTGTTCTTCGTGCTCCGCCCAGCCGCCGGCTGCTGCTGCGTCGTGGCCGAGCCCGGGCGCGACGGGTGCGCAGCCATGTAGGCTGCCGCGGCCGTCGGGCCGAACAGCGCCGAGGCGTCAGCCGGCGCCGCGCTGGCGTGGCGCGCCGCCTTGCGCTTGGGCGGGAGGTCCGTCGGGATCTCGTGGCGCGTGAGCTGGACCTCCCTGCCGACGAATGCGCGCACCGGCACGAGCTCGCGGACCGGCGGGGGGAGGGGGAATGATGAGGAGGAGGGAGATGGAGGATGTGGAGACGGGTTAGTGAGGGGGAAACCCCAGGAGCTAGGGAGGAGGAGCACGATGAGGAGGCGAGGATCGAGAACCGAGCTGGGGTGGGGGGGGCGAGGAAGATGGAGGGAGGAAGGGAGGGAGGGAGGGAGGGAGGGAGAGAGAGAGAGAGAGAGAGAGAGAGAGAGAGAGAGAGAGAGAGAGAGAGAGAGAGAGAGAGAGAGAGAGAGAGAGAGAGAAGAGAGAGAGAGAGAGAGGGAGAGAAAGAGAGAGAGAGAGAGAGAGAGAGAGAGAGAGAGAGAGAGAGAGAGAGAGAGAGCGAGAGAGCGAGAGAGAGATAGAGAAAGAGAGAGAGAGGGAAAAAGAGAGATAGAGGGAGATAGAGAGCGAGAGAGAGAGAGATCTGATACACATATGAGGGGAGGTGATGAGAGAGGATGTGAGGATTGTAATGATGGCCTTCAGCTTGAAAGACGTCATGCCCTCAAACACCAAGTGGGGCGGCAGGTCGATGGTCACCACCTGGGCCTTCGTCTCGAGGGTCGCCTGCTCGTCGTCGTCCACCACGCGCACAAGCCACGCCGGGCACGGGCACTCATTGTTCACGGTGCCCACCGTGTCGGCGACGCAGTACACTCCGAAGGTGGTGTCGTCCCGGCTGTCAGGCGCAGTGACCTTGATGGCGGCCACTGGGAAGGAGCGGCCTGCGGGCGGCCTTGCCAAGGTCACGGGGCCGCAGAAGCACATCGAGAAGCCCGAGGCCAAGGCGACGGTCATCGATGGCTTCTCGTGCTCCTTGGCCAAGTTCGGCTTCGCCTTCGCCTTCGCCTTAGCCGCCGGCGCCGGCGCCGCCCATCCCATGCGCGTGCTGCCGAATGGCGCCACCGCCCTGGCACTGAACGACCTACTGTAGAGCTCCGCCTCCGCGAGCATCAGGAACTGCTTGATCCACCACGCCGGCGGGAAGCGACTCATGTCGAAGGTGATCGTGGCGCCCGCTATATCATCAGACATGTTCACCGATCGGGAGGAGAAGGGAGGAACTCCTTCATGTTCTCCTTCTCTCCTTCTCCTCATCATCATCCTCCGAGGGTCTCCGCATCAATATCATCATCATTCTCCTCCTGAGTCGGAGCCCCCCTCACATGCGGCCCTCCCCCCCTCCTCCTCAACTCCTCCTCGTCGTCCGCTCCACCTCCAGCATCCCTCGCCGAACCCCCCACTTCCTCCGCCCCGCCGCGCCGTGTCCAGGTTGACGGGGCTGCCGGCGGCGAGCGACATGGCCCGCTCGTCCATGTACCTGCAGCAGGCGGCGGCAACGGCGCAGACGAGAGGACGAAAGGAAGAGGAAGGGTGTGCGAGGAGAAGCGGCGGTCGGCCCGGCAGACGGCGGACGGTCGGCATTGGCATCGGCGGTTCAGGCGGTCGACGGTCGGGATAGGGGGTGAGGGAGAGAAGGGGGGAGGAGGATGACTGGGCGGGGGGTATTGGATGGACCGCCGGCGGCACGCGTACACGCCCTGCAGCATCGCCAGCGGGTGCTGCGGCTGCTCGGTGGTCATCTGCTGCTGCACGACATGGAAGGACTGCGGCTGCTGCTGCGTCTGCGCCAGAAACGTCGGCGCCTGCGACGACTCGCCCGACGGAGACGGCACAGATGACGTGGGAGTACCGGGCACCCTGCGCGACTCCACGAGCCCGCGCAAGGTAGTGTCGGGGTCGGCGCCGATGTAGAGAGCGACCAGGTACTCTGTATACACCGACGCCCAGTCGCTGTAGGGCAAGACGGGGTCCACGTCGCGCAGGCCGTCCAAGTTCTCAAGGCGGCCCTTCAAGACCTCCAGCTTGATAGTGGGAGCAGTCCCCTGGGCCGCACCTCCCATGCCTGTGGCCTCGTGGAACATCTCCTGCACGTCCAAGACGTCAGTCAAGAGAAGCTTGGCGTACGTTGCCCTGAGACGCGCGAACGTGATCAGCGTGGGCGTGTCCTTGAAGTACTTCATGACCACGCCGGGCAGTTGAGACGTCTGGCGCACGTACCTGACGGCAAGCTGCCCGATACCAAGCATGGCCTCCGAGATCTCAGCCATCAAGATATCTTTCACCAGGCCGAGAAGGTGCGCAACGAACGGACCAGCATCATCCGACCGTGACTTGTCGGCGAGAAGCTGCCCCTGGGACTCGCCAAGAAGATCGAACATCCGCTTGTTGATGGACCTGTACGCTGGGTGCAGCTTGGCCGGCGCGGTCAGCTTGTTCGCCATCAGGAAACGATCGAGCTCAGCGCCTGCTGCAGCGATCGCGGACTCCAGGCGCATGAGGGCGGTGGACTCGTCACATGTGGCCGATGGCTGAGGCTCGGGCGCGCTCTGCCCGTCCTTTTCGGCATCCCACTCGAGCACGTCGGACGCCGTCGTCGTAGACGAGTTGCCAAGCTGGAGATTGTACGCAGAGGAAGCAGCGACGTCGCGCAGCTTACATCTGAGCTCGGACCACTTCGTGTACTTAACCTGACCAAGCTGGACGACCTTGGCCCAACAGAACTCCAGCCCCATGGACATCAGCGAACGGAAAATCGTCCACTTCCCATCGTCGTCGAGATCGGCGTCAGACATGGCCGAGATGAGGCACAGGGCGGCGTCGACCACCCAGATCTTCTGCATCTCAAGGTCTGTGAGCGACTCCACTGGCGGCCTGCCAGCAGGGGCAACCTTGGGCTTCTTGGCAGGCGGTGGATTCTCGCCCTGCGCCTCGAGTTCGGCGGCATTCACGGCTGCCTTCTGGGCGTCGACCTTGGCAGTTTCAGCGGCAAGCTGGGTCTTCTCCGCGAGCTGCTTGGCTCTCCTGTATGACACGCCACACTCGATGTCCACAGAGAGCCACTTACACATGTCGATCTGCGATTCATCGAAGAGCCACGGCTTGGACCGCCCGGGCAGCCCTGCTGTCGGAACTATGAATTCCACCGCCACCTTCCAGATCTCCGCAATGAGCTCCATGGACAACCCGCTGCGGACCTCGGAACTGAACAATGCGACCGACACGGCGTGAAGATTGAACACCACTGCGGCGTTGGAGAAGCGCTCTTCCGTGAACTTGCAGTACTTACCCAGAAACTCCACGGTCCAAGTGAGCAGCTGGTGGCGCTTCAGCGTGCCCAAGAGTGCCTGGCGGGCCCCACGCGCACCCCGCCCAGCACCGTCGCCCCCTCCCCCCCACCCTGCCTCTCCCACAGGGGGGGAGGGGGGGCGGAACGCTCCAGATGACCCAGGGGCCCGGGCGCGACGGTGGCGGCGACGAGGTAAGTGGGAGGGGGGGGCGACGGCGGTGGGCGGCGATGCGTTTGCGCAGACGCTGCCTTGCACGCCTTGATCTCGTTCTCGCTGCTGAACCTGCGTGTCGCAGTAGTGGCGTACTTGGCGGAGGCATGCTCCCACAAAGAAGCGTACGGCGTGTCGGTCAACTTGGTCGCCTTGAAGTCAGTGTTGAGCTTTTTGCACCAGTCGAACAGCTGGATCACCGTAAAACTTGATCCTGAGTGCCAATGGTTATGCCAGTTCACTAGCCAGTCAACAACGTCGCGCGGAGTCTCCGCGTTGAAGCAAGTGACATTCGGCAGCCCCTTCTGCAAGCTCAACTTGATGCAGGGATTTACGATGTAGTCATTGTCCGGGCCTGGCACATCCTCGAACTCGTTGGCCTTGCGCTCCATGTCGACGGCGAGGTAGAAGGCCCGCGTGAGCGTGCCGTACGTCAGCATCTGCAGCGGGAACTCGCCAGACGTGTGGAGAGTGCACCACGGTTCCCCGCGCACGCCTGGGACGTTCCCGAACTCGGCGACCTTCTCGGCGTACTCCTGCACGACCTGATCTTGTTTGCGCTCGTTCTGGATGTGCGGGACCATGGTCTTGTCCCCATTGGAATCGTACCAAGGCACAGTGATCCCGCGCTTGCCGGGGACGGTGTAGACGTTGAACACGGCATCCTGGAGCGCGACCCCCTTCAGCCCGGGGAATATCATCTCGATGGACTCGCAGGGTTTGTACAGGTGGCTGTGCATGTCAACGGCGTCACCCACCTGGACTGGCACGGGCACGACGGCCCACGGCTCGGCGTCACGCGCGCCAGCGTTGGGCCCGCCCCCTGGCTCGTCGCCGCGGAGCGCATCGGTGCCCTTGCCGCTGCCCTTGCCCCGGCGACCGCCGCGGCCCGCCTGCCCCCGACCACGCCCGCGGCCGCCGCGGCCTCCGCCGCCGGCAAACACCGACCCTGCTGGCCCTGGCGCGGCGCGGGGCGCAGAAGCACCGGGCTGGCCCTGGATGTCCGAGTCCGAGCAGCTGTCATCCATGCGCCGATCCTTCGCCTGGGCCTTGGATGCTGCGGGGGCGGCGCGGCGCATAGCTGGAAGCGTGGCCCGGGGCAGAAGCGCGCGAAGCTAGACGGCGCGCACAACGCGAAAGACGCAAGCTTGAGCCGCACGGGCGGCGGCCACGGGAATGTGGGGAGGGCACGGGGACACCTGCGACACAGCGTGCGGCTGGTAGGCTGGCTGTCGGACTCGCAATGTCGGGCTGGCGATGCGAGGGCCATGGGCCATGGGGCAATGGACACTGGGGCAACACAGCGCAACACATAACGGTCGCATCGAATGGCACGGCCGACGCCGACGACGACGACGGCAGACGGGGCGGGCGAGGAGGAGGAGGAGGGCGAGGAAGAGGAGGAGGAGGATGAGGATGAGGAGGAGGAGGCTGAGGAGGAGGACGAGGAGGAGGACGAGGAGGAGGAGGAGGAGGAGGAGGAGGAGGACAGGGCGCTGGACGGCGATAGTGAAGCGACGGCGCTAGATATCGATGACGGCGACGGGACGGGCGGCGGCGACGCCGTCGCGCGCGTTGTGCAGCCCCAGGCGCCGGCGCCGCCGCCGCCACCGAGCTCCGCGGGCAGCTCCGGCAGCAGCGCCGCCGCCCTTGCGGCGCGGAAGCGGGGGGGGGGGGCGAGGTCGTCCGTCGTCGCTGCCGTCGCTGCCGATGTCATGATGTCCAGCGTCGTCGTCAGTCGCCGATCTCAACGCTGCCGTCTCTGGCAGTCGCCGACGCAGCTCGACGCCGTCTCCCGCCGTCGACGCCGCATGCCAACGCCGATGTCCAGGCGGCGGATGGAGCGTGGGCAGACGGAGGGTGAGACGGAGAGGGCGGGTGAGCGAGGGAGGGGGAGGGGGCGTCCAACGTCCAAGAACAACAGTGATGATAATGATGACAATGACATGGGTGCGCACTCGCGGTCGCATGGCCTCGGAATCCCGAGTCGCCCCCAGCGACATGAAGCAGCATGCGTGCGACCCCGCAAGGGGCTCTGAAAGGGGCGAGCCTGGAGCCTGAATAAGCGGCCGCGTCGTATATTGCACACGAGCTCCGGTCGGAAGAAAGCTTTACAAAGTGACCGCGGGCCCGAGCCCCGCCGAAGACCGAGACTGAGACTGACAGTCTCCGAGTCTCCGAGACTGAAACTGGACGCGCCCCGCGGAGGCACCGAGATACGCAATCAAAGCCAAGGTGCCAGGCGGCGCGGGCCCGAAACAGGCCCTCGGGACCCCCGGGCAGACTTGGATTCCGTCGGTCTGGTCTCGGTCCGATCGGGGCCTGGAGCACGTTGGACACGCAGGAGCCCCGCGGCAAGCCAGAACCCCCCCGCCCCCCCCTCAGCCTATCCCAATACAGTGTCCTCTCAACTTCTCCCAACTCCAATGCCAATGTCCTCGCCATCTAACTACTGCGATGTGCCTATCATGTAGCACACGCGCTCTACGAATTAATGGCTGGGCTGACAGACAAAGCACAGTCCCACCAGGCCGATCTGACAATGCGAGTACACGGCCCTCACTCTGAATCTGGCCAGCTCATGGCACTGGCAATGGATCGCAAGCCATCCACCTGGTCGACCCGCGTAACGAACCCCAAGAGGTAGAGCAGGTGGACGCCCACAACGTTGACGTTCATGGAGTTCCCCGCCTGCATAAGGATGGCGTTGCGACTCCTTCCAGCGCCACCCTCGCGAGCGATGGCGAAGCTGCAGAGGCGCCGCGGCACGCCCGAACGCGGCGTAGCGAGCTCGGGCCTCACCGGGAACCCCTGGGCAACGAGAAGTTCCATGGGGGCCATCCAACGCTCGCTCCCCGACACGTAGTGCAACGACGGGTTCGAAATGATCGAGTAGAGAACCTCCGGACATGATGAGACGCCCCTGGACCCGCACTGACTGTTCTGAATGAGGCTATGCACGCAGCCTGCCTCGCCCCTGGCCGCGGACTTCTCCTCGTAGGACGTCAGGTTATCCAACTCCCACGGCGAAAGGCTGCTGCGGAACGCCCCGGGCGCGCTGGCGACGATCTCCATGCAGGACTCCAGTGTGATAGCAGGGTCGTGTGACTGACTCGACTTGCGACGACGGGCCCAATAAACCTCGCCCGCCTGCTCGGCATCGTCGGCGATGAGGAACGCTCTGAAGGTGCAGCGGCGGCGCCTGTGGAACAGCCTGATGACATTATCGAGGGTGCAACGAGTGTCGATCACGTGAGCCTTGTGCAGCAAGATCGTCCAGCGCCGGTGGCGGCGCACCGGCCATCCGAGGTCCGTGGGTTCGAGGATGTGGCTGACAATGCAGTAGATGTGCCCTAGAGTGCGCTCCAGCACCTGCAGGTCGAAGCGGTGCGAGTTTTCATGCACGATGCACGCCTCCTGTATCTTGATCCTCATCGCGATCCAGACGGCCAAGACGGATGACGTCTTCCCCTCGTCTCGCTCACGGGCACCTCCCGGGCACCAGTCGATGCACGGCGTGCCGCCGATATGCAGCTTGCCTGTGGGGTGTCGACAGCGACCGCCGCAGGTGCGACACTTCGCCACCAGGTGCACGCATCCCGGCTTCTTGATGATCGATTCAAACGTGCTGAACGGGATCCTCTGAGCGTTAAGAATCTGCTGGCGTAGGCTAGGGTTCCAAAAGTCCTCAATGTCGCAGAACATGTGCTCTGGCGCGGGCCTGGAAGGCGCCTCTAGCTCCAGCTCGCGATTGCACTCCTCCAGCAGCTCCGTCGACGCCAAATGGCGCATCGGATCAAGACGGCCCGCGTGGTGGCCCACCATGTCATTGAGCGTAGCGCCAATGACGTTCGCAGCCGTCCCCGGAGCGTCCACGCCTGAAAACGCCGTGGTGTACGTTGTGTCTGCGAAGGCCTTGTGGATGTCCAGCAAGATGCGTCGCCCGCAGGCCCGCGCAAGGCTGGATAGGGCGTCGTGCGCCCAACTCATGAGGTCGTCGAGCGACCGCACCACGTGCGGGCGCGGCCCTGTCAGTGGCCCCATGCCGACCCCCGCGTCGCTGAAGGAGCCACAGGCGCATGGCTGCGGCGGCAAAGGAGCGCCCACATCGCCCAGGAGTCTCGACCCCCCCGGGCGGAGCGCTGTCGGGAGGCTGACCGACAGCGCCGCGCGGCCGGCTGCTTCGGCCGGGGGCGCGGCGGGGCTGTTAGCGGGGGCCGCCGCGGCCTCCGTCGCGACGGCCGCGTTCTCCGAGGCACCCGTCATCGCGTCGCCGACGGGCTGCGGCGGCCCCGCGCTCTCGGCTGCTGCGTCAGGGGGCGCTGCGGGGCGGCGGTCAGCGGGGGCGGGGGGCGCCGCCGCGGCGGCCGCAGCGGTCGCGGTCTCCAAATCGCCCGCTGACGAGGGGCCAACTGGACGCGGCGGCTCCGCGCTCTCGGCCGCTGCGGCTGCGGGCGCTGCTGCGGGGCAGTCAGCGGGGGCGGCCGCCGCCGCGGCGGTCGCAGCGACCGCGGTCTCCGAGTCGCCCGGCGTCGGGGGGCTGACTGGTCGCGGCGGCTCCGCGCTCTCGGCTGCTGCGGCGGTGGGCGCTGCTGCGGGACAGTCAGCGTCGGTGAGGGCCACCGCCGCGGCGGCCGTAGCGGCCGCGGTCTCCGCGTCGCCCGTCGTCGGGGGGCCGACTGGACGCGGCGGCTCTGGGAGCTCCGCGCTCTCGGCTGCTGCAGCTGCGAGCGCTGCGGGGCAGTCAGCGGGGGCGACCGCCGCTACGGCGGCCGCGGCGGTCGCGGTCTCCGAGTCGCCCGTCGTCGCGAGGTCGACTGCCTGCGGCAACTCCGCGCTCTCGGCTGCTGCGGCTGCGGGGCGGTCAGTGTCAGTGGGGGTGGGGGGCGCCGCCGCGGCGGCCGCGGTCTCCGAGTCGCCCGTCGTCGGGGGCCCGACTGGGCGCGGCGGCCCCGCGCTCTCGGCTGCTGCGGCTGCGGGGCAGTCAGTCTCAGCGGGGCCAGTGGGGGCCGCCGCCGCGGTGGCCGCGGTCTCCGAGTCGCCAGTCGTCGGGGGGCTGACTGGTCGCGGCGGCCCCGCGCTCTCGGCTGCTTCGGCGGGGGGCGCTGCTGCGGGGCAGTCTGCGCAGACAGTGTCAGTGGTGACCACCGCCGCGGCGGCCGTAGCGGCCGCGGACTCCGCGTCGCCCGTCGTCGGGGGGCCGACTGGACGCGGCGGCTCCGGGAGCTCCGCGCTCTCGGCTGCTACAGCTGCGAGCGCTGCGGGACAGTCCGCGGGGGCGACCGCCACCACGGCGGCCGCGGCGGTCGCAGTCCCCGAGTCGCCCGTCGTCGCGAGGTAGACTGCTTGCGGCATCCCCGCGCTCTCGGCTGCTGCGGGCACGGGGCAGTCAGTGTCAGTGGGGGGCGCCGCCGCGGCGGCCGCGGTCCCCGAGTCGCCCGTCTTCGTGGGGGGGTCGACTGGAGTCGCTGGCGGCGCAAGGTCCTGGCTCGGCACGTGGGCCGATGCGACTGCGTCGGGTGGTGCGTCGGCGGACGGCGACGGCTCCGCCGCGGTCTCAGTCTCCGACGTTAACCTGGCAACGGCCGACACTACGGCCGACATCGCTGCAGCCGGCGCTGGTACGTCGGGCTCGGCACTCGATGGATCGGGCATGGGCGCGCCCGCTGGTGGCGCAGGCGTTGCATCTGCTTTGACGCCCCATGCTGCGACGGCATCCGACGGCGCCTCTTGCGCCGCGCCGCAGCCAGCCGCCACGGACGCCGCGGATGCGCCCGGAGGCGGCGGAGCTGGAGCTGCCAGCGTCGGCGGCAACCCAGGCGGATCAACATCCGTCGTGGCTGGCTGGGACTGGCGCGCAGCACCGTTCTCCGAGTCCTCCTCGGCCGAAGCCGGCCAGAGCTCGGCACCGATGGCCTCGATCTCGTCGAGCTCGGCGGCCGCGTCGCCACTCGGCGGGACCGCCGGTGGCAGCGCGCCCGACCCATGGGCCGATGCAAACTTTGCTCGTTTGCGTGCAAGGGCAGCCTCGGCCCGCGGATGCAGGCCGGGCGCGCCCGATGCGGCATCGACGCCGGCT